CACAATACCTGCAGTCAATATGCAAACAAAAAACATACTATGATAATGTATGCATTGTCCTTGAAACTGATTGGTCCACACCAAGGGACGGCTTTCTTTTGAGCCTCGACCCAATTGGTGCTCAACCAGATGACGCCAAAAGGCGTACACAGCTCAAAGACAATACTGGCAAAAGAGGTCTAATGTAGATGCTCACCCCGAGCCCTCATTACTTTGATAGTGCATTGTCTTTGAGCTGTGTACGCCTTTTGGCGTCATCTGGTTGAGCACAAATTGGGTCGAGGCTCAAAAGAAAGCCGTCCCTTGATGTGGACCAATCAGTTTCAAGGACAATGCATATATTATCATAGTATGTTTTTTGTTTGCATTTTGACTGCAGGTATTGTGGTTAATGCAGATATGAATCTTTGTAAAAAGGTTTCAGTTTTGTTGCCAGAAAAAAGGGGAAAAACTCTATTATTATAATGAAAGGTTTTTTAAGTAATTTATCTGAACCCATTTCATTGCAGGATAATGAATTTAATGTAATATCAATGCGTGCCTTTCCACTGTTTTAATTTCTTTAACATAGTTATCTTTTGATCTGATTTTACTTTGGTTAATTTTGCTCTAATTTCTATATGTTTCATTGTTTCACCATGTTTTTATGTTATTTGTTTTGTCATGTTGCTGACCCAGGTGACTTATGAAACAGATGATGTCGATCTCTTGAGTTCTCCCCCGGTGAAGCAAAATAAACTTGGCTCTGCGCTCTGAACGTGCTGTCTCAAGCACGCTCTTTGTGGGCTTTTCGACGTCATGCCAGCATTCCTCATGACTTGCGTTGAGCTGTCCCTGCTCGCGGTGTGTGTACCCACAGTTCCTCGCTGACGGATACGCAGCACACCTGGCACAGCTGGAATACCACCACCGCTCGCGGCCAGCCAAGAGCAACGCGCGCATGGTGCTGCGCAAGGGCAGCTTCGGGTTGCCAGGCCAGTGTGATGCCTTTAGAAAGCGTGGTCACCTGCGCCGAGCCGTATCTGTTCACCAGGCCGCTGGGGTTGGCGGGGTCGCCGGACCCGTGGTGCCGGGAGTGCCGGCAATCACAGGGACTGGGAAGGCGCCACCCGAACGCGCGCTGAGCCAGAGCGAGCCGGAGCGAGAACAGAAGGAGCGCGTGACGGCACGGAGCATGAGCATCGTGGCCGCGGGTTGCTGGAGCAAATCGTCCGGACCTGCAGGGAGCGGCACAGGACCACCGGGGGCGGCCGGAGGGCCCAGGCTGGAGAGCAGCGTTTAAGCAGGGGAATACATGGTGAACGGATGGGCTGGGGAGCCGTGGAGGTATATCAGTAAATCTGTGCTGCTGTGATGCAGGTAAATGAGTGCTTTTGTCGCATGGATAGGAGCCAAAATCACAAAGCATAGGAACCACTTTATTGTCTTTACGTTGGGCTGGAAGCATGTTGCACTGGGAACATTTAAATTGAACTGTGGCAGTAGAATGCTACTCACGCATGGTGTTTTGCAGAACTTGATGTCTGCAATGGATCGTCGCTCTTACACAGCAGTACATTCCTCTCTGTGACCGTGACCACTAACGATGTCATGTTAGCACGACAAGCTCGTGACATTACAAATGTATTTATGGTTTATATACAATCTTTTTTCAAGCCAGTACATTGAAGGATTCAGAAACGTGTGGAGAATGAAGGTTTTTAGACTCATGGAGCCTCGTTACATGGACTCAGAAGACACGCGGTACCATGGAGCCAGCCCAGTGGCACTGTGGGGGCAGAGTGGGGGAAGGAGGGAGTGGTGGGTCACTGTCGCATGTTGCCGTGATGATGATCTGCTGCCTGGGAGGAGGTGTTGGGGCGGTCTCTCTCGTGAAATAGTCCCCGGTTAGAAGTCCAGTACTGTATTCAATAACTATATTCTGATGTCCAATGAGAGTAAAAGTGAATTAGTCATGCTTCTTGCGCGAGTTCTATCTCTTGTGTTTGAATATTTGATGACAGCTGAAAGTATTTACGCGACGCTGCCAGTCCCTCGTGATGATGTCGCAAAACTCCGAGTCTTTAAATATGGGAGATGGTTTTGGTGTTGGGAGAAAAACAATCAAGTTCAATTGGCGTTGCATCTTCAAGGTCACCCCAAAGGAACAAGTTGGCTTGGTGTGTATAGTTTGTGTCTGTACTCGGTAGACTTATTTGGCAGAATACGTGAATGTGGACATGAACTGATTTTTGGATAGAACAGGGCTCAAGATGATATGGCTACAGGTATACGAGATCGCAAAGTTAATGGTAAACATCAAGAGTAATTTCCCAACACCATATACTACAGCCTACATGTTATACATACTATATATATGTGTGTGAGATTATATATAGTAACCCGTATAAGCGCGTACGTGTACAGTTTATGCGCTTCAACCTCTTAACGAACGATTCTGCACAGCCCGATCACCTGGATCCAATTTGCATGGCACCTGCAGGAGCAATACCTCGTATGGGGTAATGACGGGTTTGACATTTTTAAAGTTTTATATCATATAATCTCCGTTTTCTATTATTGTCACTAATGTCATTATGTTGCATCAATACCATGGTTTGCATAAAGTATAATTGTATATATGCGTAGTGTACACGGTGCAGTGCGGCGAGCGCAAGGGTGCGGTGGCCACTGCTGTCCAGACTCCTGCCAAGGACCCTGCACGCGGTCGCGAGCGATCGGCGCTCGACGCCGCCCGTGCCGTTGCCGCTCTCTCGCCGTCTAGGCGTGCGTGAAGGACGTTGCCAGGTCGCAGTGTGCACGAGACTGGGCCGGTGTGCACTCATGTCGTGACTTAATTTAAAAATATCTGCATCTCTTAAGTTAACTACTGTGTAATGAGCATGACCTGCTCCGAGTCGAGGTGATGTTTCCCAAAGGCTCAAATTGACGCGCACTCGTTAAAACACAATCACTACTCGTTTTGGGTTTTTTTGTAAAAATACAGTAAAATGGAAATGTTTGGTTGACGCGTATTAAATTTCTGCACGTTGCCAAAAAATATTGCCCATTACAGCAAAGCAGCCAGTGCAGTTGCTGCACGTAGTGCGTTCACGAATTGACGACCATTGTGTCAGTCTCTGGCTGCAAGAGCATGAGAAAAAAATATCCTGCATTTCTTTGCAATGAAAACACTTCGTCACGTTTGTCGAATAAAAATACACGATTGTGTAAAAACGGTGATAAATTGGAGCCTTTATCGTATCCAGTCAAATTATGGTCAAAATGTGTAAAATCTACCAAAAAATGGTCACCGTACATTTAGGCAGTGCTGGGCATATGCAGTGTGGCGTGTGTACACATGCAACATTACTGGTGTGCACGGTGGAGACGTCCCTTTTTTGTGTCATGTGGCCACACGACTCATCGCTGAGCGTCTGAACAATACAATCTGCCAATGGGGGCAGCTGGCATTGTAACCGCTGAGTCCGGTTCTAGCCATGGGACAGATGTCATTGCGACAGAAACACAGGTGGAGCCCAGCCGTGTTCTTCATGGCAAAAGATGGAATTGTTCCATTCTGCAATTGCCTCGTGTGGAAACCGCTAACCTTGGTGCGTTCTGTTTTCTAGTCCACCCACCCCACTCGCGGTTATTTATTATGCTGCTGTCATCTTGTGAGTTTTGTGTAAAATGTCAGGCTTAGTCGTATTGAATTTGCCAAGTAACACTCCATGAGGAAATGGTGACCATCAGCGCAGTCTGAGGCCCAATAATAGCCATTGGAGAGATGTTATTTAGTTCAGGGTGCAAATACCTTGACCGGAAACTTGTTCTATCGTCGAGCACTTGTTCTTTCATTGCCGCTGCTTTTTGGAAACGCGTCACGATGGTGGCTCATAGCCCTGACATTCCTCTGTATGTTAGCATTCATTATGTCAATGTTTATGCAGTTTCAGTTGCAATGGTAAATATTGAGGGACAATACTCTTCAAAGTATCCCAGTTCCAGCATGTGTGTGTGGTTGTGTTTGTTAGGGCCAGTATTATTTCAGGTTTCTCACCAAGGCCACAGCCGGCTTTCTTGTCAGCCATGTGCAATAATAGCCCGGTTTGGGCGGTACAGACGCATTCGGCTGTTGGGATCTTTGTGCCCTCCGGATGCATCTGCAATGATTACAAATTGGTTTTATGGAATGGCTCTGCACACTTGACCATATTTTATATTTGATTGCTCGTGATGGTTTGAAAGTGATTATATATTAAGTGTTTATTTTTCATACCTGACAACCTCTCTGAGCAACACAGGGTGTCCGTTAGTTTTCCTCGCCGCGGGCTTAAATGTCCCGTTTAAACCCGTGAATGTTCATTGGACACTTTTGCTCTTATGAAAACTGACGAAAGGGAATTCCTATGCTACTGACTAAAGCGAGTTCTTGTTGTCTCGGCAACTATAGCATAAACAACTGTATATCCTGCAGAGGTATATTTTAATAGTTTTGTATGTTATGCATGCCCCATGTTAATTTACTGTCAAATGATGTTTTAAAAAGTCACGTGTTGATGAACGTTCACATTGCCCGAGGGTGGTGGAGGCCGGGAGCGGAACAGGTCTGGATTTGATCTGCGTGGAAGTGACATCTCGGTGAACTCCACCTGTCGGCATTGGCCATTTCCCTGGTTTGTCGAACCGTAGTACTTAAGAGTGCTCATACGACGTAGTAACATTTTGTTTGATACCCTTATGCAAGCCATTAGTGGAGTGCTGATCATGCATGTGCAAGTGCCCTGATGCCATGGGCAGGTTTACCCACTGGCCAGCACATGCCGGCATGTCAACCTTGTTGGGCGGTGTGGCCGCCACACTTGTGTGTGTAAATATTGCTTACACTATTTAATGCTGCATTAAATGTCATGTGGTCAACGATGGCCGTGTCACGTTTATTTCACGTCCCCTGAACGCGTTCCTTCTCTGCAGCCGCACGCACACACCATGGGCCTTTGCGAGATTCCCGTTCGCAGCGAGGCGGGGGTGAGGTCCCTGTGGTCCACACCGTGAGGATCCCCGTGGTCCACACCGTGAGGTTCCCGTGGTCCACACCATGAGGTTCCCGTGGTCCACGCTGTGAAGAGCCCCTTGGTTCACACTGTAAGGGTCCCCGTGGTGCGCACTTGAGAAGTCCCCTAAACCTTATCGCCGCTGTCCCTCGTGGGGCCCACGTGACACGTCACGTGGGCCTGTGTGGCGTCTTAGGGGTAACGAGCTCGTGTCTACGTTAAGCGCAATTAGTGTAATTTCAGATAATTGCGTTAAAACGACTTAATGATAAACCACATTCTACAATTAGTATGAAACCCCATTAAACAGTAAACGGCATTGATTAACATGCAGTGTTTGAACTTCACGGAGCCCGCGTTTCACAACGAACCTCCCTAGCGATCCGTGGAGTGCAGGTTACGATGTATTGGCTGAGGAAGGGGGTCGATTGGGTTCAGATGTCGATTGTTCGTTGTAATGGGAACACGTGCCTTAACACGTAGGCTTTCGCGACCAATATCCATAATACAGGGTTTCTTTGTTTATATTTACTCGATCTAACCCCGTATTATGAACACGCGGCCCCTGCAGCCACAAGAGGCGCTACATTGCATGCAGCCTTCTGTACGATGGATTTATTTTTTATTGTAATGTCGCTTGTTTAGGCGGGAAAACTCTTCCTCAGGAGGATCCTGCTAAGTTGTCGCAGTAGGGGCCGATATTGATCCTATGTGTTATCCCAATTGAGTAATTTCTAGGTATTTTTGCCAACATTGGGCTGTTTGGCCAATACCAGGTACATTATATATGTGTTTCGCTGTGTGGGAAACCGTAGGAAACCTACGCAGAACAGGGGTAGAGAACATACAAACTCCACCTGAAGTGCAATATTCCTTTAACTCCTATTAAGAGAGTAATTTAAGGAAGGATGTGCTGTGGACCGCTGACCAGAAAACTTGTCGTGTGGTGTTGGTGTTAGGATCGATGCTACTAAGACTCCCCTCACACGCTGTTTGCAGAATGCAGAGCTCCATATTCCGTGCGTTTGAGGGGAAGGAGCTGAGCCGCTTACGGAGATGTTTTCCATTCTTGAGAAAATCCCAACTGCGAGCTCGACTCCGCTTGGCTTGGCGTGCCCACAAGGCGACGCTCGAGGCCCTCTCGACAGGTTCACGCAAACTTAACGGGTGAGTTCACGAAGGCTGCCTGGGGTTGTCACCTGTCCGTCCGGGAATTGGCTCTTATGTTCAGGTGGAAAGAATTGAGTTGTACTGAGATCTAGTTCCGGTCTTGCTGTGTTGAACTTTATTACAGTTTACTCCACAGTTTACTTAGAAAAGGTGGCAAAGCTAACACTGCTAATTGCCATAAAACACTTGCTTTAAAATATACATATTCGTTTGGGTCTTTCGGTAAAGTCACGTAGATAGGTTCAAAGAAAATAACAAAAAAACTACGACGTTTCAACACAAGCGGCCGGCTTGTTGCGGTCGAAACGTAGTTTTTTGTTATTTTCTTTGAACCTTATCTACGTGACTTTACCGAAAGACCCAAATAATATGAATTCCTGCAGTCACCAAAGCTTTAAGTCAATATTTAAAATATACATTTCAATCACATTTACAATTCAAGTTGTATTTCTACAATGAGCGTTTTCTCTTTTTTTTGTCCATGATCATAAAGGTCAGCCATCAAGAACACCTCACCGGTGGTGGCACAGGCTTTCCTGAAGCTGGACGAGAGAGCGTGTGGTAAAGAGTCACTGGCCACCTCGACTTGTACAAACACGGCCATGAATACACCCTTCAGTTTCGAGGAAGATGAAAATAATGTCCCAGTGATAGATCTTGCAACAAGAGTTAAAAGAGCCATGAGGAATCATGACGAAGTTTCCTCTGAAAATGAAAAAATAGGGACTGCAAACTTTGAAAATGGTAAATTCACGAGAAAGTTCCACAACAGCAGAATGAAAATGGATGCAGGTTTGCATACTATGGACATGAATGCCGATGTGAGTAATCTGATGAAAAGCCAACCGGGGGAAATGCAAAAGAGCAAACCAGTGTGTATCGTTAATGAAGGGGCTGGGCAGATGTATTCTGAGCGTCACCTCAAAAAACAATCAATTCTTATCACTCGTTCACCAAAAGTGACTCGTAAACATATAGAAATTAAAACACAATATTACAATCAGCTTTTTCAGGAAGATTCAAAAATATGTGATGAAACGAGCAATGATGATGAAAGTAACTCTATGCCTTTTCATAATGAGATCCAAACAGGTAAGGATAAAAAACAAAACATCAGTGAGCAAGATGAGGTGTGTGAGGCAACACAAGGTGACAGCCGACTGGGTCAGGTGGCCAGGCACTGCGGAGATGTAACAGAAGATGAGGATTTTAAAAGAGAAACATCACAAGGCAGAAAGAACCAATGGTACCAGAAAGATACTATCCTGCAAGCCACAGAGATGATTCCTGGTGGGTTCTTCGAAAAGCAGATGCGGTGTACTGAGCGGGACCACACACAGGCGCCTTGGGATACATGTGAGACTCTGATAGGTCCGAACCAGGACAGGTGCAATTATTTTCTTCATGGACAGTGTACAGAAACATGCAGTGCAGATGATTCAAACATGGACATAGACTCCCAGAGCTCTAATTTCTCCACGACAGACTCAGACGTAAGTGATACATGAGTATATCATTTGTTAAATGAATTTCAACTATACATCCTTTCAAGTACTGAAATTTGATCACTAAATACTCGTCGCCTGTATGCACAACATCTAAAGCTATACACATTAAAATATTTACTTTAATTGCTTTCATGTTAGTGTATGAATGACTATTTACATTAACTTTACCAGTCGCATATGGAAGATGTTTGGGAAGCAGACAAAGAGAACCAAGGCTTGGAAGAGATTAAAGAAATCAAAGGCCACATGGATGACTGGGTGCCTTGGGAAAATGAGACACACGAAGTGGAACATGATGTGGTAACAAAGTACTGCAACTGTTGACATAGCACAATCAGCACATTTTCTATTCAAGTCAAAAGTACAATACTGTAATGACGTTTAAGGGAAAGGCGTGATTAACTATTCCACATATCATTGATAAAATTATATATTTGCTTTGGTACGTATACAATCACCATTTAATTCACTGTATCTGCCTGAGCACTGCCGTGGTGTAATGGTTTATACACTGGTTTAAAAAAAAAGAGGTTATCGGTTAAATTCCTTATTCTGGTGTGGCAGTTTAAACAATGGGCCAAGTTTATTAAGATCCCCCACTTCCTTTGTCGACCCAGTAGTCTAAATGGCTTCCCCACAGTTGATTTTAGGTAAGGTTTAGTAGGTACTCCCACTTTAACACGTCTGATCAGCGTGGAAGAGTAGACCAACTGCCCTCTTGTGGAGGCTCTTCCACCAGCAGAACTGTACCTTTAACTTTTACCTTCATGAATTAGATTTTTAAAAAACATTAACATTTAACCGTTCGTGTGTGTAAACTTGAATTCATAGCAGTGGCAAAAGCTGGATGAAGGAAAGAACGAGTGGAGGATTTTGATCGATCTCTTTAGTGACTACAAATCCGTGCATACGGCGACCGGTAAGCAGAGAACTGGGTGCGATGTCCACATTTTCTGAGAAACTTCTGAGTAATCTCATGTTCTATTAAAACTGAGTGGGAAGTCCGGTACGATTAAGGAGGAGGACTATGTAACAATATCACCATGAGCATTGACATTATTCACGAGAATTTTGAAGACTTAGTTATTTGTACTTTAGTATAGTAATTGCATCAGTTCGAGCCCAATGCATTATTGAGATCACTCGAAATAAGTCCTAATGTCATGTTCTGTAGAGCGCTCTCAAATATACCACATTCCTGCCCCAAGATTTACTATAAGGGATTTAAATTTTGATTTAAAGCTTTCGTGACTGCAGTAATTCATATTCTTAGCTCTTTCGGTAAAGTCACGTTGAAGGGAAACAATAAAATAATAAAATATATTGTTTATATATATTTTAAAATATATTGTTTTTATATATTTTATTATTTTATTGTTTCCCTTCAACGTGACTTTACCGAAAGAGCTAAGTATATAGGGGATTTATGTACATATGAATCCTCATAATGTTATATTCTTTGGGTCTTTCTGTAAAGTCACGTAGATAGAAAAAATTATAACAATAAAATAATAAAAATGTGTTGCGATCGAAACGTGATATTTTTCTAATTTTTTATTCACTTTATTTTCATTTTTATTATTTTATCATTTTTTCTATCTACGTGACTTTACCGAAAGACCCAAAGAATATGAATTCCTGCAGTCATTAAAGCTGTATGTCAAGACTCATAATTTTATTTTAGTACTTATGATAGGGAGTTCAACAAATGTTTCACATTCATGTATATTTGTGTGTCTTCATGTCAGCGACATCGGCATATGAATCAGAGGAAGAGCAGACAGAGGAGAATCCTGGAGCCTTGGACTTCTTGTGGGACGTGGCAGAGACAACATGACGAGACACTTTGTTTCCTCCGTGCTAAAACTCAAATCAGCGTTTATGTTCATTGCTCTCGTTTAAATATTGACACGTTTTTGAAAGTTTAGTTTTTTCTTAACATTGCAGTTGGCAGTGTTGTGATAATACGGAATAACCGTCATTGTTAAATTGTCACTGCTGAAATATTTAAGCCAGTGGTGTAGCGAATTCATTTGGAATTCATAGAAAACCACATTTTATCCTACAACGACAATACGTAAAACGAGTGTGCTGTACCTGACAGTATACTCCACTGGTCTGCTTTGATTCTACTGGTCTGCAATGAACACAACACATCACATTAATTGTGTACTCTTACATCTGTAATACAGTTTATCAAAAAATAGTTTGACCTCATGAGAGGTACACGAGATGGTTAATATTTCTTTTCACTTAAACTTATACCTTTACATTTCCAATACAATAAAAAAAACGTATATTTGCTCTAAATACATGTGGTAAATTTTCATCTCCTTGTCTGACTCCCTTTCAAGGATGTGTTGTTGTCTTGAAACAACCTTAGTGCAGCTATTCTATATTTGTAAATTGGTTTAAATGTAAACATGTTTATTTACACCTTCGTTTCTGAGAGCTTGGATGACTGCGTACATTGCCACAAAGTAAAATTGCCTATGTAGTCTGCAAAGGTTTAGGCACAATGCTATTTGATATCCCTTTGACTTTTACACTATCTGGTTGCCTACAGAAGAACGTATTCAATCATTGCATATTACCTTATGACACGTGGATGGGAAACATGGGCACTGACAAAGAGAATGGAATACATGCTGAAAGTTACGTCAAAGCAGAATGGAGAAATTAATTATTGGAATTTCACTGAAACATAAACTCACTGATCAGAGAACAGACACAAGTTAGAGCCATAATTCTGATTTAATAACAGTTCCCTAGGCCGGGACACGACGCTCTAGAAGGCATGATGGCCAATGATCGAAACTAAGGACTGGCAGTCAAATGAGCGAACACGTTCGAGAGAATGACTGCTGTGGAAAATGGAGCAATGAAATGAGCTCGTGTGCAAGAGCGAGATAGATTGTTGCATAGGGATGAGGACCGCTTGGAGAGAAATTCATCCAGTAGTGGATAGAGCGCGGTTGCTGTTTGGAGGTACTGCACATGGAGTTATCAATACAGCTGATTAAATTGGTGGGGATAAATGAACACTGCGTATGGGTCAATACACGAGCCGTGTACATTTTGTAGACTGCCTTCTGATGGTCTGAGCTCATGGAGAATGCAATGTATTTAACCACTAGGCTCGAAAACATTTGAATCATGAGAGATATGTGCAGTACACAAGAGGGAGATCAAATCACTTTACAGCGTTTTTGACTTGCAGCGTTTTAACGTTCCCAAGTGTTGTAGAGATTATTGTTTTATTATCGAGTCCGGTGATCAAGGGGAAGAGAAGACCTAATGCCAGATGGTGGGAGACTGTTGGGGCAGATTTTGGGGTTCACGAGTAAACTGTGCAGTAGCTGCGGGATCTGGCGGAGGATAGAGGTGTGGTGGCATCATCGATCTTCGCGCCACGATAACATGATGATCATCTTTGACGTAGCAATGAATAATACATTGGATTACATAAGTGGACAGTGGGAGGCACGAGAGCGATTGTGTGAAATTCCGTGCCAACTTGCCATTTCTGTTCTGAGAGCGATTACAGCCTGCAACCTGGTTCCCTGTCACTCGAACCAATTGGGCCTCGTAATCATCGACGCATGGATGCAATTGTTTTTATTTAAATGCTACTCAATTGCTCCCTTGAGATAGAGCATCTCGTTTGCAAGGGCAGTTCGGGGACGCACAATTCGCGGTGCTTTGCAGTACTGCAGTTGTACTGCAGAGAGCGTGTGTACCGAGGAGCACGAGTGCTGCCGTCTGTGTTGAGCAGGGAGACCGGGGGCCTGCGGTGCGGATGCAGGGCGACAGGGGATGATGACGCGCCATTGTCTATGACACCGCGGAAGTGACACGCCGCATGAGAAGTACATCGCTCGTAATCGCCATCATCACGGCGCCAATACGAGTACTGAAGAGAAGATATAACTGGTTTAAAGCGAGGGTCTGTGCTGTTATAACGGTGTCTGCGCGTTAACCCCGCGCCATCACGGGGACGTCGCCCGCCAGGGTGCACCACCTGCCTCGAGGAGCCGCAGTCCCCGCGCTCATCGCGCCCGTGAGGGTCTCCTGTGCTCCTCTCTCTGGCCGCTGCTCTCAACTCGGATTCCTCCCCTCTCTTTCCTGTCCTCTGTGCTCTCCGCGCTCTCTCCTCTCCACGCGGAGTCGCCACCTCTCCCCGCGGGGCCATGGCGCGGTGCGAGGAGAAGGCGCCGCCCTTCTTCGAGAGCCTGGGCGAGGCGGCGCGGGAAGTCTTCACCAAGGGCTACGGTGTGCGGCGCCACTCACTGACGCTTCGTCACTCTCGCGACGCCAGCTGAGGCCATGACACAGACTAATTGGCGCTGCTGTTTCTCTCCCGCCGCAGGCTTCGGGCTCGTCAAACTGGACTTCACGACCAGGGCGGCCAGTGGAGTGGTGAGGGCTGTTTGCGCCATGGAATGGCTGAGCGGATTTAACACAAAATAATCATTGGCGTCCTTGTGGAAAATACCAGAAACAACAAACAAGCAGACGCCTCCTTCACGTCTTTGTACACATACAAACCAACGTAAATTGTACACATCCCCACAGCCACGCCTCCTTGTGTCTGGTCAGTAGAGGACACACGCAATGCAAGCAAGCCGAACTCTGCTGAGATTATTTGATGAGACGAGGCAAATAAGGGAAAGAGGTGATGAGTGCTTTATTTCCCTTGCGAGCGAAATACGCCAAGACGCATGAAGCCTCGCCAACAGAGAGCGCTTCGCATCGGACACTGAGATGACGATGGCTCGTGATACCGAACTCGTTGCCGCGAGTCTCCACCGCCTCTGTCCCCCCCCCACCCCCCGGGCAGGAATTCAACACCCGCGGGGCATCCCACACGGACTCGGGCCGAGTGAGTGGCGCCCTGGAGACGCGGTACAGCTGGCCCGAGCGCGGCCTGCGCCTCGTCGAGTGCTGGAGCACGGACAACTGCCTGGGCACGCGCATCTCGGTGGACGACCAGGTGCGTGCTCACCATGAGCCGTGCGGTCAGGGGAGGCAGGGGAGGCAGAGCCTCACCTGTCATACTCCAATGAAAATCGCTGTTACGAAAAGTGAAAAAAATAATCAAATAAAAAAGATATTCAGATTTTTCCACTGATTTGTGTTATAAATGTAATTTCTGTACGATTCCAATCATATAGTAAAAAATCGCCAAATTTGCGGAGCTCCGCAGCAAATACAGGAAGAGACGAGAGGTGAGGCAGCGACAAGCTCAGCCTCCCCTCTGAGCGCGCTTATTGCGCGGGCAATAAGCGTGCTCCTGTTACTGTCTCAGTATGTCACCAATGTAATATTTGTAGACCCCTTCCTTCATACTCTTTGGTTATTTCGGTAAAGTCACGTAGGTATAAAATAAATCACGACGTTTCGGGCGCAACACAAGCGCCCGTCATCAGGTGGGAAAGCCTGGTCTACTGCTGAGGCAGATTGTTTTAAAAGCTTTGAAATGGGTGTAGCCCAAGGGTCATAAAGAAGTGGCCGGGGCTAGTGATGTTAATGTGATAAATTAGCATGTAACTGTAAGATAGGAGGAGAGCGGCCTCCTCGACGAGGGAGTACAACCCAACGGGTGCAATTCAAAGGGCATGTGAGTATGAGAGATCTAAGAGAGAGGCATAGAGAGACACAGAGTAAGAAATAACAGCTGACATAGGCAGGTAGGATGGAAACATCACAGTCAGTTAAGACTTTACCTGGTTAATAACGTCCTTCCAATGATTGCTCAGTTTGTACCCATCCTCTCAGTTGAAGTTGTGTCTGTGTTTATATATCTGGATGGCTTCATGAACAAATCTCTGAAGGTAGCCGGTAGGTTTGCAGAGTACCTCCGTCTTGGAAAAATCAATTTCGTGTGAGCCCACAGCATTAAAACAATGATCGGCAATGGCAGAAGTATTGGTCCTACCGTGTTTCAGATCTGCCTTGTGTTCACGAACGCGACCCTTTCATTTCATGTCCTCGCCTTCCATACTCCAGGCAACTTATTTCACGTATGTATATCAAGATATTTAGGCTGGCTGGTCTCGTCATGAAACTGCAATGAAAAAGCACAAGGGGAGGCAGCTATCACATCTGCCTCACTGAGGGGGATGTGTCTAACACGCCCCCACAGTGAGGCCACGCCTCCCTCGGTGAGGTTATGCCCCCTCCATGAGGCCACGCCCCCTCTGTGAATCTGGCTCTGACACTAGCCAGTGCCTCCCCAGCCATTGACCTCACCGCACGTCACTGGGGCTCACCGCTGCCGCTACACACGCCTCACTACTGCACACACAACAGCGATTCACCACTAAGCAGTGCGAACTCGGCTGGGGGCAAAGGGACATTTTGGTAGTGCAAGGACTCAGCCCAGCGACTCTCGCGCCGGCGTTGCTCGCTATCACAGGCATACCTCGTGTGCTCGCTATCCACGCATTACTCACGAATACACACATACGTCTAATGCATGACACCCTCTTGTTGGTAACCGCTGTGAGAATGCGTCGCCCGCGGGTCGTGTGATGGATATAATCGATGCACGGCGATCATTACGCCGCACAGTACTTGCAGAAGGATGTGTGTAAACATCCATAATTTTCTGTGTGCACATTTCTTAAACATGATTTAAATTATTCTAAACACAGATAGGGCAACAACGCAGATTACAAATGGGCGGCGCGGGCTTCCGGGATTCCCCGACATCTATTCTCGTTTCTTGAGCTACATTTTTCTGTGAGCAGTTGTTAAATATCTTGCCTGAGCCAACTTTCATCCAAAAACTGCACATCGAATACACATCGCGTTTGTGTTTGTTTATTTTGTGTTATGTCCATAATAGAGGTTTTTTGGGTTAGATCGCATAAATATATAAATGTGTCGTTAAAACCCGCCACGGCCCGACACAGCCAACTAGTAATGGTTGTCACATAAACAGAACATGCTAAGTCGTCACTAGTACAGCACACCGATGTGTTGGAGAGCCAAGCCACAACATTTACAATATTTTATGTGTTTATATTGTTTTTTGTTTTGTTTATTACTGTCTTGTTTAGTACATTATCATGTTTATTATTAAGCATTTGCACTGGTTTCAGTTTATCCTGTTACGTGGTTTTGTTCTGATTTCTATTTGCTTCATTTGTGTACTTTGTTATTTTGGTGACCCAGGTCGCCCTTGAAAATGTGGCTTATCCTGGTCTCTTTGTTAAACAAAATCACCCTAAAGCGCAATACAAGACAATGCACACCAGAGTAAAATTATGCGAATTTTGAGAGAATATTGAATCGAACTGTTACCTTGAATCATGGATGTTCATCATATGACTACGGATACATGACACCAAACTTGTCCAGCTTCGTGAATAGGTCACGGCTTTCCTGCCATGTGTGTACATGCAATGTGTAGCTGCTATCTCCTTCAATTGCTTGTTTGCCTTGCAGTTGGCAAAGGGGCTGCAGTTGGTTTTTGACACAAGTTTTTCTCCAAACACTGGGTAAGTCACTTATATGTGTGTTTATATTGAAGTCTTCACAGTCTTTAATGCCTGAGAGGTTTAATGAAATAATTAATTGATCCAACTTTGGAAAGCCTAACAAACTGTTTGGTGAAGAAGCTGAGTTGCTGCTGCAGAAGTGGTAATCGGTTGTGGCCTTCCTAAGGTTGTGTGCTACACAGCGAGCTTGAGAAGGATGCAGCTTGGCGGCAAGGGATGATGGAGGATGGTCAGAAATAATAAGTGGCAGCCAAGGAATGCAGTTCATCCGTCGGGACATTCACCGAAGAGATGCAGCGATGAAATAAGTTCAAGTTTAGTTAACGGATGGATTGTTGCAGTGCAAGACCGTGAGAAGTGATGGCAGTGGCTTAGGGGAGCTTCCACTCAGCAGTGGGCAGCAGGATGGTGGCAGCGAGGGGCAACACCCGCAATTCACAGCTAGAAGGTCCTGAGTTCGATTCCCAACACAGATGCCCTGCTGTGTGGCATTTGTGTGTTCTACCCCCTGTTCTGCATGGATTTTCTCGGTTATCAGGTTTCCTACTATAGCTAAAAACTTACAACATAACTGGTTTTGGACAAAAATCCCAATGCTAAAGAAAATACCTGCAAATTACTCAATTGGGATCACACATAGCAGAAACATCACTTACTACCACGACAACTGGGCAGAACCCTAAAAAATTGTCTTGAGACTCGGTGCGACTTTCCTGGATCAACAAGTGCAATAATAACAAACTGTTGGGTAAGTGGATTTATAATTATGGATGGTGGTGTGACCTACATTTTCCAGTGATTTTGCTGTCATTAATTTGTGTTTTGTCCGCGAATGTAGCAAGAAGACTGGGCTGGTGAAGGTTCTGTATGCACGACCATTTGTTTCGGCCACAACGGACGTGGATGTGTCCTTGGGAGGGCCCATTGTGGCCAGCTCCGTGGTGCTCGCAGCTCGAGGCTGGCTCGCTGGGTACCATATGGGGCTCGACGTTGGCAAAAGGAAGATCACTTCTAACCGCATTTCGCTGGGATACATGACCGAGGACTTCCAGCTTCTTACCAACGTGTACGCCCAGTGTGCGTCTGCCACGTGGCCAAGTTGTGTGTTGAGCCATGTTGTGTTCTATGATGGAAGCAGGATGACATTTAATGGGATGGGAAACGCTGGTTTCTCACAATGTGACGTGGTTTCAAGAGTAACAATACACAGCGACATACGGTACCATGAATACAGGATGTTTAAACGCAGGGTCATGCAATACAATATTTATTGTACACCCGTAACACAATCTGAATGTGTTCCTGATTTCAGAATAATCTTGAGAATCTATTAATCTGGCCTACAGAGTAAATTTTGGATGATTAGACAATGTTTTGGTTTAATCTGAAAACCAAAGTAACACCACTGATGTTGCGCCAGTTCTGTGGGCGTCACGTGACATTGAGTGACATCACTTTTGACCACAAGCACACATTACATCAGTCACGTGATTTCCTACTGAAATGACCATTTATCCACTGCTTATCTATTGTTTACAATTTTGAGCCAGTAATGTAAATTACTCATTCTTATGGCAGGGCCTAGTCTATCTTTAAGACAACCACTGTTTTGTTCCCCCACAAAGGGGTACTCATTGTATTGCCTTGGCAGTATGATGGGCAAACTCAACCCCCAACCAGGATTTGGACTGGCAACGTTCCAATTGTTAGGCACTTGCTCTGCTGCTGAACCATCCAGTCAGATTATAGTACGCCATGGTAATTACCCAAAAATACAAATGGGTTATAAAGTAGCCTTAGAAATTTGAAAATCCGAATTTTTTATGTTCATGAAAATCATCCCTGCTCCATTCTATTGTTGCTGTTAACATTTGTAGCCAACACATGTGCTTGGCGTCCACTGCGCGTGTTTGCAGAGTTGACGGAGTGGAGTTTTCGGGTTCCTATTTCCAGCGTGTGAGCGAACGCCTCGACACGGCTGTGCGTCTGGCCTGGAGTGCTGGTGCGCCCCACCCACGCTTCACTTTGGGGGGCACCTACAAGATTGACCAGAATGCGTCCGTGTCGGTACTCACTGCCCCCCACATGCACCGCACGTTTGTATAGGGTGCTTGCACTAGGCAGGGTTAAAATGGACTTGACACACACTTGGGGATGCGGCATGATCGTTTTATTTGCTGAACATTCAGATGATTTTAAAGACATGAAAACACAAGATAACTCAATTCTTCGGTCCAAAAAGTATGACTTTTTAACTGTCTCCAGAATTAAAACCCGAACAGGCACTTTCGCTCAGACACGGAGCTGCTTCAGCATGGAACAATCTCCCAGACTCACCGACATGTGCCGCCAGTCTCATCAAATTTAAATATTTAATTAAAACTCACTCGCACAACACCTGCATCTGTTACAACGATTTTAGCAGTCGTGCTTGTGTTGCAGGGGAAGATGAACAGTGCAAGCCTGCTGGGACTGAGCTACACACAAGCCCTGCGGCCTGGTAACTTCTAATTGTGCACGGTTCCACAGCCAACACGTGCCGAAGTGCCTTTGTGAAGCATGTTCGTATCGGACGTTCACTTGTGTATTTGTGTGTGTGCGCGTGTAGGAGTGAAACTGAGTCTCTGTGGACTACTCGATGTAAAGAATATCAATTCTGGCGGTCACAAACTTGGGCTGGGACTGGAGCTGGAGGCTTAGTCTCGTCATGGCTGGAGGGCACGTGCGTGATGCACACGTACATGTACACGCGTGCGATGCGGGTTCCGACACAGGGCTCATATTTGCACGTTAAGGAGTTTTGCACATGTATATATACTCCTTGCAATTAGCACATTTGGCTACATATGATTTGAAAGCATTTCAACATGCATACACATGTATATGTGGAGACAGGAGACGCTAATCTCTGTCGATACACTACAGTTAAAAAATGTTATAATGTGAATAATTGCACAGTTTATATAAATTATTTGTTTCTGGAACTGATATCAATCTATGTATAAAGGCTACAAATGTAAACTGATGCGAAATCAAATATAACATTCCTGTGCACGATAATAAATGTCCAAACGTGTTAAATCTGGGGCGATTGTACATTAAAAACTAAACGGTTTTAGTGAATTGTGCAAGGTTATGTGATTGCAGTATATGGAATTGTGGGAATGTTAGCTGTTCCGCAGTGGCTCGTCTTTCACAGTGTTGTGATGAGCAGTGTAAACTAAACCTCCAAAAGTGGTCTCCACTGTCGGGTGAATGGCTACCCACACCAACACCCCGCTCGGTGCTGCTGCTATAGTGGACCTCGCACCCGCAAACGTGGTCCTCACTCCGTCTCTCATTGGACATATTCACAGGCTTGCTGCCTCAGTATAAATCCAAGTGTGCATTTCTCCGTGCTTGGCACACTTTCCAAGTTGTGTTTTGTTGGCAGTATCTATGTTTGTGATCCACACTTAATAGGAAATTCGGTGAAGAAACCTTGTAAATTCATGTGCTGCTGTATACTTTGTGGCGTGGTCTCAAAGCACTGGCTGCTGCTGTCCTTGCATTAAAGCATTTATCCGACAAGCATTGTCTTGCCAAATTCTCATAGCGTTTAACGAAAAAGTGATTTCCTCCATTATGTTTCGGCTTAGCATGTATGTATGTTTTACTTTTTTCACACCGTACGTAGCCAACTGTCCTAATCGGAGCTGCGGGGGACGGACAAGAAACTAAACACAAAGTAGTTCTCAAGAAATTAGTTTTAAATCTAGATTTTGAATTGCATAGCTCCATTGGCTTCCTAATATCGGAAGGAAGATCATTTGAATGCACGTGATGCAGTGACCATCTTTGTTTGATGGCTAGCCAAAGTACTGCGAGGATCAGAATTCGCGTGGTGGTTTATGTTCCTTGAGATAATCGAAGTATTGTGATTTAAAGCTTTCGTGACTGCAGGGATTCATATTCTTGGTTATTTCGGTAAAGTCACGTAGAAGGGAACAATAAAATAAAATATATAAAACAATAAAATGCTCACGACGTTTCGACTGCAACACAAGCAACCATCATCAGGTGTGAAAACCACAGCAAGAAAATTTGACAAAAGTAGTGAGTTGCAATAATCAAGGTTTGTTGATACTATGCTACATTCCACCGTGTTGGATATTTCACGACTCGATAGTGGTCGAATGTGTCAGACACCTGATATGAAAATTGCAAGATCTGGCTATTTTGCACGTAGTGATCAAATTACATTTTGGTCGAGTATGGTGCAGAGGCTCTATAGATGAGTAGAAAACAGAATCCTGGAGTCTGTCACTGCCACACCTGATTCTCCCACAATTTTTGTTTGCCTGAGCCCAAGTGCCAACCAGCAGAACCTCCGAACAAAAGCTGTTTAGGCATGCAGTGGCTGGGCATGCGGGCTACATGACCCAGCCAACACAACCTTGCCTGCCGGAGGAGCTCACCGATGGGACTTTGTCTAGATCTTTCAAGGATATGTTAGCTCACACAATCCAGCCTGGTGAACCCCAGGATGGATCGTAGGCAGGCCAGCCTAAATGTTTCTAACCAGCGAAGATGTTCCATTAGGGGGGTCCATGTTTCGCAAGCGTAGAGAAGGGAGGGAATGACTGGCCAAGGAGACCTGAAGCTTCGTGCGGAGCGACAGGCCAGGTAGCTTCCACACAGCGTTGTGCAACCGATGAAAAGATAATGCCACTCGACTGATTCGGAGTGAGACCTTTGCTGTCAAACCGGAGCCGGTCATGGGCACATTGCTCAGGTATGGGAAACTCTCCACTCTCTCCACAACTGCCCTATCACCAATTGGGAGTTGTGGGGGTGGAGTGTCCGATGGTACAAAATACCCAGGCAGGTGCTTAGTTTTGGTGGGGCTGATGGTAATCCCCACCTCTTAGTGGCAAGCTCCAGGTTCAGCAGCAGCGCCTCCAACTCCACCTCTGAGTGAGCAGCAATTACCAGGTCATCGGCATACATAACATGGTTGAGCAATAGGGAGCCATCCCTCCCATGGTATCTGTACCAGATGGAAATTCCTCCGGTACAGCGATTGAAGGCTTCACGAACTACCTGGTCGAAATATATGTTAAATAATGTGGGAGCCAGAGGACATCCCTGTAGCACCCCATAGTGATCAGGGAATGGCTCCGACTCCCGGCCACGTAGTTTTACCCGAGCCCGCTCACCATGATGAAGTTCCTTAATGATCGTGAGCAGCGGGTCAGGGACTCCGAAAGCACGAAGCACAAACCAGAGCCCAGGCCTACTGATGGTATCATAAGGCCTTGACCAGGTCAATAAAGCAGAGATGTAGGTCTGATAGTCACACGCACTCATTCACACTCTCAACAAACAAACTCCACAAAGGAAGGCAGTGAAATTAGGAATCGAACCCAGGTCATTCTTGTGATGCCAACGTGTTACCAAATACACCACCTTTCCACCCAATGTAAACGAAAGGTAAAATAGGGCTTGGTTATGTGCCAAGGATTAGGAAGAGGGAAAGTGCCAGGGGAGATCTTTTTTTAAAGTATGGTGAAGGTTGGTACTCAAACAAATCTGAATAGTGTGGTCAAGGTTAGCCTCTGATTAGTGTAATTAGGATCAGTGACAGGGCTTATTTTGAAGTCTGTTTTGATGGGTGGTACATGGGGTAATAGCAAGAAGATTCTGGGTTAAATTCTCAACTTGGGTACCTTTCATTGGTGCAGTTTATATTTTCTCCCCCTGTTCAGTATGCGTTTCCTTCTATACCTAAACAACACTCCCCACACAATGCATTTGGTGTTGGCCAAACATCCTAATGCTGAAAAAATACCTCCAAATGACTCGATTGGGATTATGCATAGCAGCAGCAACATTTCCCCCCGACTGTTAAAATTTGGCAGGACTCTCCTGAAAAAGGGTCTTGAGACTCGCTGTGGTTTTCCTCGGTAAACACGTATCGTATTAATAATTGTAAGGGGTAAAGCTAATGCTAATGTATGGATATGTTAACCCTCAGTCAAGACTTTGGTCATCTTTGGCTTATCTGGAATCATTACATTCCCTTTTAACTATTCATCACTATGATGGGTAGTAGAAGAGGTGGCTGGGAGGCTCAAAGTTGAAATCTAGGCAGCCAACAGTTGTTAAACTGGGTTCTCTAATGCAGTGAGTTAATACTCTCATCTCGGTCAACAATGATCACTTAACGTATGAATGTTGAAATTCTTTCACATGCTAATGAATATTTTAATGCGCAGAGAGAGTTGGCAAGTGACGCTGTTTCAAGTGTGGATCAGAGGTGCCGAAAGAGATAAAAGATGTGATATCCGCTTCTGTGGGTCAGTCATAACCCTAAACCTTCCGGGGCCAGTCATTAACCTTAAATTCATGCTCGAAAATGCTCGCGCCGCTAATTGTCCACCTGCAATATTTTTTGTTTAGTGGGGGTTGTTTCCCAAACTGGTTAAAAAAAAGAATATGGTTAAAAATGTCGCAGGTAAAACCGCTCTTGAAGAATGTTGGCTTGAGCTATTGTGATCCTGTAAACTTCGATTTAAAGCTTTCGTGACTGCAATGATTCATCTTCTTTGGTTCTTTCGGTAAAGTCACGTAGAATGAGAATAAAATAATAAATTGATAAAATAAAATAACACAATAATATTCTCACGACGTTTCGGCCACAACACAAGCGGCCTTCATCAGGTGAAGGGACGAGACTGTCTGGTAGGACAGCGCTGGAGTGAAAGAGCCACGTTCAGATCACGGCCTTTAAGCTGTGTGAGAGGAACAAAGCGCTTTGACAAAGGAATTAGCATATAATTTAGCATTGAAATGGCTGAATGATTAGCTTGTGACTGGTCACAGAAATAATTATGTTAAAAGTTAAAGCATACACATCCGCAGAGGCACCCCTTGACAATGGAATTAGCATAGAATTTAGCATTGAAATAGCTAAGTTAAAGCATACACATCCGCAGAGGCACCCCTTGACAATGGAATTAGCATAGAATTTAGCATTGAAATAGCTGAGTGATTAGCTTGTAACTGCTCACAGAAATAGCTACGTTAAAGTCAGACCATACACATTCACCGAGGCACTTAGTACAAATCAAACAGGAGAATTTAGCATTGAAATAACTAGGCGAATTTAGCATTGAAATAACTGAGTGATTAGTTAGTGACTGGTCACAGAAATGACTATGTTGAAGTCAAGGCCTACACATCTGAGCTATTCACAGTACTATATAGTGAACCAATAAAAACTAAAATATAAATTACCTTAATGTTATCAATAAGCTCTATATTCTCCAATCAGCTAAGCTACCAACAATAAGTCGTTATTAAAGTTGAGGGTAAGAATCCACCCATTTTTTCGCCATATAGCATTGTGATATATAACGACTTATTGTTGGTAGCTTAGCTGATTGGAGAATATAGAGTTTATTGATAACATTAAGGTAATTTATATTTTAGTTTTTATTGGTTCACTATATAGTACTGTGAATAGCTCAGATGTGTAGGCCTTGACTTCAACATAGTCATTTCTGTGACCAGTCACTAACTAATCACTCAGTTATTTCAATGCTAAATTCTCCTGTTTGATTTGTACTAAGTGCCTCGGTGAATGTGTATGGTCTGACTTTAACGTAGCTATTTCTGTGAGCAGTTACAAGCTAATCACTCAGCTATTTCAATGCTAAATTCTATGCTAATTCCATTGTCAAGGGATGCCTCTGCGGATGTGTATGCTTTAACTTAGCTATTTCAATGCTAAATTCTATGCTAATTCCATTGTCAAGGGGTGCCTCTGCGAATGTGTATGCTTTAACTTTTAACATAACTATTTCTGTGACCAGTCACAAGCTAATCATTCAGCCATTTCAATCCTAAATTATATGCTAATTCCTTTGTCAAGGCGCTTTGTTCCTCTCACATAGCTTAAAGGCCGTGATCTGAACGTGGCTCTTTCACTCCAGCGCTGTCCTACCAGACAGTCTCGTCCCTTCACCTGATGAAGGCCGCTTGTGTTGTGGCCGAAACGTCGTGAGAATATTATTGTGTTATTTGATTTTATCAATGTATTATTTTATTCTCATTCTACGTGACTTTACCGAAAGAACCAAAGAAGATCCTGTAAACTATCACCCAATCTCAATCCTGAGCGGTTACTTACCCACATCGCTCCCATAGGGAGATTCAACCTGTTTCAGTTGGCATACCGGAAGTTCCACAGCACTGAGGCGGCTCTACTAAAGACCCCCAATGACCTCTATAAGATCATGGATGACAGGTGTGCTGAATAGTTGGCTGGCCACTATCTCTCAGCCGACTTCAACACCAACGACTACGAGATACTCATCGGGCGGCTAAGATCAAGGTTCAGTGTATCAGGTATGGCACTTGGGTGGATTGAGTCATACTTATTTAATGACAATAGAGCCTGCATGCGGTGTGAGGGGACTAGTAGCCACGGGAGGTATAATGACAGGGAAGTCGGCCTCCAGTACAAATGCACTAGTGGCCACGGGAGGTAATGATGGGTATCAGTTGTGAGTGCGGAGGGACTGGTGGCTACAGGAATGTTCGAGAA